GTCCTTTCCGAAAGTTATCACAAAGATGTAAAAATAGTTACATAGCACAGAAAACTACTGACAGTAAAGATAAATGAACTAGAGTCTTTTGGGGGAAAAGTTTGTTTGATTTGATAGCATTATTCAAACTGCACAAGGCGGAAGAGATATACAAGCCCAGCCTGGGCCCGGCCTGGGCCCATGATTCAGGCCATGTGGGGTCTCCTTGCAAGGACACCTGATGCTTTCTCAGGTGAGCGCACCCCCATGGCTCTGCCCTCCTGGCCTCCAGAGTGGATCTGGGCTGGGAGTCAGGTGAGGGCTGTCAGCTCCTTGGAATAAGACCGATGTCTGACCCCTGCAGGCCTCATGCATGGCCGGTCTCCGCTTACAGTGCAGCCGAGGAAGCACCCAGCACCCTTTGCGCAGCCTAGGGGAGGGCGGCTGAAATGGAGGGTGGTGTCCTGGGCCTGTCTTCATAGCATGTCTGCAGATAAGGCCATTGCTGGTCCGCAGTAAGTTATGGTGACCTGAGCCTCCCGTTACAGCAGCAGCTATGTGAGGCTCACCCTCAGGAGCCACCTAGAAATGCTCTCTGAGTGGCTGGCTGGACCGCTTGAGCTGAAGGCCAGCGCAGGGCTGTACTAGGAGGAAGCTCAGCCCGCACGTCAGGAGGAGGGGGCAGCAGGGAGCGGAGCATGGCACACAGCACGGCGTCACGGCCCTTGCGTGTCCTGTGGACGTGCACAAACATGACCTTGTGCGTCGCTCGGAGCCTTGAGCCCATGGCCTGTGCGGTGCTCTTGCAAGACACCCTCCTGGTGTCCCCTTCGCAATGCTGTGAAGCTTGGCCCTTCCATCTCAATGCGTGGGAGTGAGAGATTGTCCCAAATGGGCGCTGGGGACACCAGGAGGCTGCCTGGCAAGAGCACCGCACAGGCCACGGGCTCAAGGCACCGAGCGACGCGTGAGACCATGACTGTGCACGTCCACAGGACAAGCAAGGGCCGTGACACTGTGCTATCGGTAGAGCTCAGAGTCGTGTCACCAACATGAAGCCACACCCAGCGCACTGTGAGGAGTTTGCTTCTGGCCAGCGACTTAGGAGCCGTCTGCCTAGAGTGGTCCTTGTCAGGCTGGAGTGCTTCCAACTCTTTGGCTCAGCAGAAGATGATCTCATGTGTCACTCGGTGCCTCGAGCTCATGGCCCGTGCGGCGCTCTTGTCAGGCACCCTCCTGGTGACCCTTCGCAATGCTGTGAAGCTTGGCCCTTCCGTCTCAATGCATGGGAGTGGGAGATTGCCCCAAATGGGTGGTGGGGACACTTCCTCTCACATACACTGCGGGGCTACAGAAGCACAGGATTCGGGGGATTCTATAAAATCCATTTGGGGACTGTGCCAAAGCCTGCGGTCTTGGGACAGCTCTGCACATGTGTGCTCACAGGTGTCCAGGTCTCTGCTCTGCCCCCTTCCTGGGCCTCCAGCTGGGCCTCTACCATCTGTCTTTGGCTAGCAGGTGGTGTCCCAACACCCATGGGACATGAGTCTCTGCATCCCCCCTAGCATTCTAATTTCCTAGGATTGGGGAGTCTGAGCCCCTGTACAGAACTCGCAGGACCCCACATATCTCAGGAGGGCCTCTGGCTTCCAGGTTCCTGGTAGCTGCACACACTGTAGACCCAGGGTCTTCACACCTGTGCTGTTGGTGCCTGGGCCTCCTGCCAGCTCAAAGGGCTGCTGCTCCCGGCGCGATTCTCTCCAGAAGGAAACAGCAGTCTGGAGAGAGCAGCATCTGTGGTCCCAGCTCCTCATGGCATCTGGGGCAGTGAGAAGGATCAGTAGGGGTGCTCAGAGTATGTGTCTTGATGGGAGCCGGAAGGCCACAGGCCACATTCTTACCCACAATTCAGCTTTGGTTTTCTACCAAGTTGATGTGCAACTTCAGTCTCTCTCTCTCTCTCTCTCTCTCTCTCTCTCTCTCTCTCTCTCTCTCTCTCTCTCTCTCTGCACTTAGTTTAGCACAGAGGTTTTAGGTAGAGCTCAATTTGCCCATTAAAGGTCTACTAAGTCTGTACACCCTGGTCTGCGATTCCAGGGCCCCGGAGCCCTCTGCATGGCAGACCTCTTGGGAAATAGCTGGACCAATTCTGAGGCAGAAGTCAGAGAAACACACTTCCTACCTATCCCTTGGAGAGCATCTCATGTCTAGTGACAGATTTATCCTCTCACTGGCATGCCCTCTGTGGATGGGTTAGACTAGCTAATGGTTGGATGGAAAGTGCCTGTGTTCTGGGGCGCAGGGGCTGGAACATGGCTGGGTAAGCAGTGTAGCCCCACAGACTGTGAGCTTGGTCAGGCCAGTGCAAACCTCCCTGGGCGTCCTGATAAGGCCAGACAAGACGTTATCTTGTTATCTACCACTTTTTTCATTTCTCACCTGTCTTACTTTTTTTGTATATTTAACACAATATGTGTGAGACCCAAAGGACTTGCAGATTCTAGGCCAGTGCAGAAGGCTGCAGATCTCTGGGTGGTCCTCCTAGCCCCGCACATTTCGCGGCCCACAGCTGCTTCCCTCTGTCTCAAGGCTGCTTTTCTGCTGCAGTCCCAAAGGCCACCTGGTGTGTCCTTTGTCCTTCGTGGGTCCAGAGATACCATCCCCATGTGGCGATGACATGCACTTTTCCTATGTCACTAGTCATTGTCCCTAGAGCTGTGACATCTCTGCCTGTCAAAGGCCAGAGTGAGTCCAAATCTCCATCCTCCTACCCAGACACCAGGATGCAGGGAATCTGAGACTCCAGCTCAGGAGAAAGAGTCTTGCCCAGGTCCTCACACCCCTGGCCTGGCATGAAGCCTCGCGGAGCACGTGGGCCCCATGGCCAGGTCCTCCAGCCGCCACAACTAAGCCTGTTGGTGTCCTCTCGGGTGCTCACCAAGCACGTGCACACGGAGTGCGGGGCGGGCCTGACGGGTTCCCGCTGGGCCTTCCCAAGCAGAAGTCTTTCTTTTTTCCATTTCTTTACTCATAATGAAGTTCAGTGTCTTCGTAAGTGAAACCTAAAAGTCCTCTTGGGGGTCTGGAGGGCTTCTCAACTGTGAAATGAAAATCTTCAGCACAGACTTGTGTATCACAGGTATGTGTTTTATGCCACAACTAAAAAGAATATCTAGACACGACTGTGATTTAGGGTTCCATATTTCAGAAGCGGTTCATACTTCCTCACTGATAAATCTCCTTCATTACACTAAGGAGTCCTACAGTACTGTGTGTCATGGTCTGGTACTTCATAATGAATGCGTGTTGTTTTCTAACTAAAGATACCATGTTGCATTCCCTCGCTGGGGCAGGCATGATTTAATTAGCAGCCCAAGCCAGTGGACACCCAGCTGGTCCACCTCGTCACATGCTGCAAGCTGAAGCCCTCCTTATGGCTGTTCAGTGAAGGGAATTATCTAGTGAGGGGTCCTTTTTCCTTTACAGCTCTGCCTTTCCTCGCCTACTCTGTGTAACTCTCAGAGCCAATGGGGCTGGAGAAGCTACCGGAGCCAGGAGTGGAGCCTGTGCCGCCCAGCCACCCGCGCAGGGTCTCCTCCCTCCGGTCTCGGGGTTCAAGGCTGGCGCTGTGGGGCACTTCGCCCTCCCTGCTGCTCTCCTGTTGCTGCAGCTCAGTCCTGCCCTGGCTGCAGCCAAGCTTGAAGCTTCTGGAGATTTCTGAAAGGTTTCAGACTGAGCACATCTTTCTGCCATGAGTTTGCAGATCTTGTCTTCTTCCGCCTGCTGGGAGGACTCTGCAGATGTTGAGGCTCTTTAGAGGACCAGCTAGAGCATCTTTCTGATGCTAATGGGGTCTCCTGTCCTTGGAGAGCATCTCATGTCTAGTGACAGATTTACCCGATCACTGGCATCCCTTCTGTGGATGGGTCAGACTAGCTAATGGTCGGATGGAAAGTGCCTGTGTTCTGAAGCACAGGGGCACAACCTTCTAAGCTTGTCTCAGCAGAGCCTTGGGAGCCACTCCGCGGAGGTGCAGCCCCTACCCACACTACAAAGGCTGGCAGGGTGCAGCCGCAGGGCGCAGTCCTGGCCCAGGAACTGCCGTTTCTCTCCTTTTGTGTGTCTTTCTTCTCTTTCTAGCAAACTCTTCTTAGGTTTTCTTTGTGTTTAAATGAACAGAAACAATGAAAAGAAAGCTTATATCTGCATAGACTAGAAGAACTAAAACTACCCCCGAGGGTGTCTACTTCCTGGTCACTGCCCAGATGGAAGCCAGGGCCCAGGCCACCCTTGATAGAGAGAAGGCTGAGGGCCGTGGTGTCAGTGCTGTTCCTTGAGGGCCTGCGCAGGGAGGGCACTGTGGGGAGGAAGGACCCCAAAGTGAGCTAGTGTCTCCCAAGTTATCCTGAATTTGTGGTCAGGAGATGTTCTCAGGCTTGAGGGCTGCAGGGAATCCCCCCTGGGGAGAGAGGGTGGGAAGTGAAGTCACATAGCTGGGCTTCCCCCATAAAGAATGTTGTGCAAGGGCAGTTTCAGGTGCTCTGCCTTGCTCACGTGCTCCTGGGGCCTGAGGGCCACAGAGCAGCAGCTCTAACCTAAGAGATGGAGTTACTTCCTGCCTCTGGGAGCTGTGGGTTGGGAGGCACCAGCACGTGGCACAGCCGCCTCCGTGGGATGGAGCTCCAGAGGGCCATTTCCAGGGCGATCCTGCTGTGCTTCCTAGCCCCAGGGCCTCGGTGTCCGCTAAAAGAGCATGCTGGGCACTGCTGCTGTGGTTCTTGTGACAGTGGGGTCTGAGAACCTTCATTCCACCTGGTGACCCAGTGAACATTAGACACTGCACTTCATCACGACTGTGACTCCAAAATCAGTCCGTGTTTGACAGTAAGCCTGGGCGCATTCATATGTTTGTTAATATTGAGGCAGCCCAGCATACTAATTTCCAAATACCAAGTACCATCTTTTTCCAAACACAGGGACAATGCTTGTGTGAACTATGAAAAGTTGTATATTTTTTCCAGGTTGTCCTGGGGCCAAAAAGCATGAGTTTCTGACAAGCGTGTTGGATGCGCTATCCACCGACATGGTCCACGCTGTCTCTGACCCTTCCTCAGCATCTGGCAGGTAGGCTGTGCTCTGGGCAAGAAGCCTGGGAAGCCCAGGACTCTGGGAAGCTCAGTCAGCCCAAGTATTAGGTATTCAAGGCTGAGGATCTTATCTGAATGTGGCAGAGCTGGAGGGAAATAGCCCCCTCACAGCCCTGTGGACTTGCCAGAGTCAAGCGTCAAATGTCTCCTCTCAGAGCTAGCAATCATTCATGTATTAAAGGACCCTGTCTGGTAGGCTTTCTGGCGCGCTCATCTCCTTAATGCTTTGTCGGCCCATGTGGCCCCCACTGCCTCTTCTGTCTGCAATGCTCAAAGGCTTTAGGTCCCCTTAGCAAAAGACCTTCCTCATTACCTTGCTGTGTTTGCTAAAGACACCTTGGGAAGGGAGGACAGTGTTCCCGAAAATGCCTCTACAGGTTAATAAATGAAATAAGGTAAACATGGTCCAGATTTCCACTTTTCTCAACACAGTCTTGGAAAGAGGATGCCTGCGTGAAAACTGGAACTCTCAGTATCAGTGCACTGCCATCTGAGAAGCAGCTGTGGTCACTGGCCACGCCAGCCGCTGGTGTCCGGGGCTGTGGCCCTGCGGCCCTGTGCCCGCACATGCCTCACTTGTTTCAGAAATGGCTGAGTTGGCCAGAAAGAGCAACGTGGGCCCAGGAAGCGTGAGGCAGGCTGAAGGTGCACCCTTCCCAGTGGCAGAAAGACACAGTCAGTGGTTGACACAGCTTCAAGGTTGGACCCAATGCCAGTCACTCTAGGGAGGTCTTACTTCGGCATTTCTTAATCTGTCAAACTTTATTTACAATCAAAGTGAAGCTCTCTAGTTACAGCTTTTTTTTTTTTTTTTTTTTTTCGGTATCAGGGATTGAACTCAGGACCCTGCGTTTGCCAGGAAAGTGCTTATTCTCTCTGAGCTATCTCCCTGGCTCCCTAGTTATAGCTTTCAATTTTTTTTTTCATGTACATCTTTCCATCTATGTACCTTCATGTATATCCCACATATCTGTGAGGAAATGGTCATGTGTAGAGCAGAAACCCATGGCTCTGGGTCACACGTGTGTGGCAATCAAGAGGGGCCTTTTGTCCTTAAGAAGGTGGCTCAGCCACTGTGATGCCTCTCCACAGCACTTGTGACCCTGAATCCCACAGGGAAGCCTTCTGCTCACTTCCTTTGCTAGGTGTCAGCATCTGCTGGGGGCACAGGGGGCAGCAGTGGGGCTCTCGGGAGGCAGCTGCGGCTTTGCTAGGCCGTGACCCAGTCCCGCCTTTCCAGGCACTCAGAACCAGACCCCAGCCACACCCTGGAGGAGAGGGTAGTGCACTGGTACTTCAGACTGCTGGACAAGAACGGCAGTGGAGACATTGGCAAGAAGGAAATCAAACCCTTCAAGAGATTCCTCCGGAAGAAATCGAAGCCCAAGAAATGCGTGAAAAAGTTTGTGGAGTACTGTGATGTCAACAGTGACCACGCCCTGTCCCTGCGTGAGCTGATGGGCTGCCTGGGTGCAGCGCAGGAGGAGGGTGCCTCGGGCCCCAGGAAGCGCCACAGTAAGTACTCTCCTCCTCCCCGCGCCCCTGCTCTTAGTGGCCCTGTGGTACCCCTCCCAGATTTCAGAGACACCTTACACCTATCTGAGGGTGCTGAGAAGTGAGTCCTGTCCCCTGGCTGCTGATCCCAAGACAGCCCTTACGATCAGCAGTAGGCCACTGGGGATTGATACCTGGTGTCCTGGTTACTCTTCTTGTTGCTAAGATAAAATAACCAAGTTCAAAGTCAGAGGCAGAAGGACTTAGTTAGCTCCCAGCTTGCAGAGGTTTCAGCCCATGATTGGCTGGTGCCAAGGCAGGGTGGCACATCGTAGAGGGCAGCAGGACATGGTGGCGGAGTACAGTGAAAGCAGCAAGAGACAGAGAGAGGGACGAGCTGCTTCCTGTCCCTTACACTGCACGCAGGCTGCCCACCCTAGGGTAGGGCAGCACATCCTTAGCCCCAGCACTGTGCTCAGAATCAGTCACACAATCCAGATTCAAGGCCTAAGGCTGCTTGAAGCTTCGGGGGACAGCTACACACAAAAGTGGTCAGAGGCATGTGGTGCCGGAAGGGCAGGAGCCAAGCGTGGCTCCTTAGCGGGGTCTTCGGGGCTCCATTTCCAGAGCTCAAGTCTCCCGGTGTGCTGTGCTTTGATTCTGGGAACTGCTGGAAATAAGTGGCCAACCCCGTGCTGGACTCCAGCTATGAATAATTCCTGCTTTCCAGGCCAGTAGCCTTGACTATTAGCAGTTGACCACTGTCCTGTATGGGCCTGGCTCAGTTAGTCGGGATCGAGGAGCAGAGATAATCCTAGGGTAGGTGGCATCCAAAGGCCTGGCGGAGACCTCCTATTGCTGACTTGTGGCTCTGATTCTGTGACAAATTCCTTGGTAAAGACACGAGGGTAGGCACATGTGTCCAGGAGCCTGTGTCATGCATGTGTGTCCTGGAGCCTGTGTCCTGTATGTGTGTCCCGGAGCCTGTGTCCTGCACATGTGTCCATCGGTCTGTGTCCAGTATGTGCGTCCTGGCGTCTGTGTCCTGCAGTGTGTCCCACAGCCTGTATCCAGCACATGTGTCCAGGAGCCTGTGCTCCAGAGCATGCTGCAGCATGTTCTCCGTGCACTCTTATGTGTGAACCTCTGAGCTGAGCTGGGCTGGGGCTCCTGAGAGGGCCCAATGATGCAGTGACGTTGACCCATTAGTGTCCCTGTCCCTAGAACTTGCTGAGACAGTCACTCAACATTATGCAGACAAACTGGGCTGGGGCTGAACCCCATGGCCGTGCGGCCCTCCTTGCCAGTCTCATGGTGAGAAGTTAGGTGAAGATGGAGCATCGTGTTCAGTTTGCTGTCTGAGGTCAATCCCTGCCGTACTGTCTACTCGTGCCAGAGCTGATGGCGGCAAGGACTGTGTGCCCCGTCACAGGGAAGAGCTGAACACGCAGTGGATGGAGACCTCTCCTGACAGCGCTGTCAGGAGAAGGAAAGTCTAAGCTAGCGTAGAATGCTGAACTGTCCTAAGCAAACGTGTCCACACTTTGTCATCTTATTTGAAAATTCTGCTCCCTTCCTCTGCGAATTCAATGAGCTATTATCTGGAAAAACTGGAAATTTGGTTAGAAAAATGAGCAGTGAGGACCTGGGTACATGTTAAGTTGATATTCCAAGTTTTTCATTTCCCTCGTAGGATTTTTCAAACATGTTTTCTACATTTTTATTTCTTAGTTTTATTTATTTATTTAGTTTTAATCCTAGTTTTTGTGTGTGTGTGTGTGTGTGTGTTTTAGGACAGGGTCTACAGGGTCTTACTATGTAGATCTGACTAGTAGTTATTCTCTTGTTTTCAGCCTCCCAAGTGCTGGGACTACAGGTGCACCCCACCATGCCCATTCGATTTCTCAGTTTTATGATCAGTTGGTTTTTTCCTATTCTGTATAACTTTAAAAGGGTTGAAAGTCAGTAAAACCTAAATATTCAGGAAGATAAGTTTTGACATATAAAACATCCAAATTAATATCAACTTCTTTTGTTTTCTGTATTTTTGCTAATTAACCAAGGTAAGTATTTTATTCTGAAAAGTAAGAAATTGAGTGAAGGGCATACACAACTTGTGGCCATTTATTCTGTTTCAAAATTTTCTACACATATACCGACTTTGTAAAGAAGTTAACTCTTTTTCACTATAACTCATCTTGAGTCTGCCATGACTGTTAATTACTAGAAAGACGGACAGTGGTAACTGAGCAACAGAAAGTCCCAGGTAGCTGATCAGACCAGCTGGCATAGACTACGTTTGAAGTATCACTCTAGGAGTATTTAAATTTGAATCTTTGGCCTAATTTTCCTTTGCAAAAGTGTCTTGACACGTACATCATTAAAACCTGTGTGAAAATAGCTGTTCTTTAGTACTTTTGCCTCTGGCTGGCTGTGCTTAGATTGAACCTTTTCACATAGCGTTTCTATTTGTCCAACTAGAAAGAGCTGCTACAAGAAGGCAGCATAGAGCAGGCCAACTGCAGGGCTTGCTCGGTAGATTTTTGTCGATAGCTGCGTGTCCACAGTCAGCGGAAACACTGGGCAAGCCAGCGTCTTCTCCACCTTCCGCACGCCATCTGGACACTGTCGAGGCAACAGGAAACGGGTGCTACCCTGGATCTCCAGGCTCACAGCCTAGTGTAGAAGCAAGACGAGGGTTGGGCAAGACCGCCCAGTGCCCAGGGTGACCGGGTGTGGAGGAGGGACGAGGGGGTGCACCGGGACACCTGGATCAGCTGGGGTGAGCAAGCGCAGATGAGCCAGAAGGGGCGGGCGCATGTGTGCAGGCGCTGAGTGGTGCTCAGCGAGCCTGAGGCTGGAGTCAAAGTGGACAAGACCCAGAAGACCCTGGCTGGGGCCCTGGGCGAGAGGCTGTGGAAGGCTGGGTAGGAAGGACTCGTCCAGGTGCGCTTTGAAGGCGTCAAGACCGGAAGGGCTGAAAGAGGGTGGTGCGGAGGGGTATGCAGGGCCTTGGGAGTGGGGTTGGCTTGCAGGGGCGGGCCTGTGCCTGTGGAGCTCGGGGGGTGGCCAGCGCACGTGCTGTTGGTGGTGCATGTCGGAGCCAGCAGGGCGGTGACGCCGGGAGTTTGCCCTGAGCAGTTCAGAGCCAGCAGCCCTGTCCTGGAAATGGAGCAGGAGAGACAGAAGTTTTCAGCACCAAGCTAGAGACCCAAGCGTGAGGGCAAGTCGCCCTCCCAGCACTCGAGGAGGCTGAGGCAGAAAAACAACTATGAGCTCAGCCTGGCAGCCAAGGGAGATCCTGTGTCAAAAATATTGAATAAAATGAAATTTTAAAAGGGCTGGGATGTAGCCCAGTGTGAATGAAGGCCCTGGGTTTAATCTCCAGTATAATATCAATCAATCAATCAATCAATCAATCAATCAATCAATCAATCAGTGGTAGCATCCAGTTTGTCCTGTTCCTTTGGGACTGAAGAAGCCGAAAGCAGAGAGTGATCTGGTCTCAGCCCTGCCCTGTGGGCACGTGCACTTGAAGACCTCTGAGAGCCCCTGAAGTGCAGAGGAAGGAGGTGAAGCCCAAGGCACCAGAGCTCAGGGTGGGCGGAGGCCAGCGGAAACCAGAGGCACGAGGAGCAAAGCATTCTGGAATCCCACAGAAGGGGAAGCTAGCCACCTGCTGGAAGGGCACAGAGCAAAGGCCAGGAGCCCAGGAAGCAGTGAGGGAGGGGCGCCCTGAGGGGTCTCATTGCAGGAGACAAAGGACACAGAGGCCCCAACACTCCCACAGATCAAACAGTAACTCTCCCTCAGCTTCCGTTTTCCTGAAAAATTTAGGTAAAACCACTCAGAATTGAGCATGCTGATTAGCCCTAATTTTAATATAGAAGAGTGTGTGGGTTGGCATGTGGCTCAAGTCCCCCCGCTGTCTGTCATGGAACAGAATCCACCCCCTCGGGAGCTGCGAAGGTCCTAGAAGATCTTTCCTTGGTTAGTGGGTCTGCCCTCAGAATTGGGGCAAACTGAAGCAGCTTTCCAAGATGGACAAGAGATGTCGGATCGCTTGAAAACGCTTGCACTGTGACTTTCACAATCCACTACGCCTAAGTATAAGGTAGAAAAAGAGGTGTACAGATGCAGAGAGAGAGAGAGGTGTATATTTAGTGTGAACAAGGCTGCAATAGACGACACCCCTCAGGTGGCCAGATCCCCTTTCTGAAGTCAGTGTATCTGTCATTAAATGAAGGCATTTGATGTGTAACGGTGTCTGTTTCCTCCCCAGCCCCCAGAGGCAATGCTGAAGGCACTGCTAGTAGACAGGTGAGTGTACTCCTGTGCTAGCCTGGCAAGCTAGCGGGTGTGCTTACAGGCAGCGCACATGCAGAGTGACCGCACTGGAGGGGACGGCACCTTCCTGGAGAGGCGGCCTGCCCTGGTGGCCCCAGAACCGACTACTGCCCTGCCCAATCCTACTGATACTGCCGTTTTTAGCAGTGGCTGTGCTGATTTCTCACATCTCAAGAGGTGGGAGGAACAGGACATGCTCTGGGGGACCCAAGGACACCCTTCCTTCTAGTGCTCCGGGTAAGACAGGTGCTCAGCTCCCGCGATGTTTCTGCTCTGGGCTGTGTGTGATAAACATGGGTTGTGTTTCTCTGTCCACAACTCTCTAGGTGCAACTAGAGGACACAGCTGTGGTGTCTCTCCAAGAGTCCACGCTAAGGCCTAAATGAGAGCATTTTCCAGGAGATGAGCAAGCGTAGACTCTGTCCCTGCCTCAGAGCCCAGCAAAGCCTCCTTTCTTTCTGACCTGGAGTCAATTTGTTATTTACTTTGTCTGCACCTGTTTGATGTCAGCATCATGGCGTTCCCTAAGGCAGCCCCTGGTTTTGTTGTGGGTTTTAAGTGGGGACCTCCAACACGTACACCTTGGATGTAATTTAAAACCGTTTTATTTGGGAAAGATGTGCGATTCATTTTCCTTTGTTCAGCAGATGTTTATGGTTTTAACTTTTTAAATCCCTCTGCAAATCACTTACACTTGAAAACGCAGCTGGCCTGAAAGCAATTAGCAGCTGTGAACAAAGACTTCCTAAGGGTTGTTTTCGTTAGATAATGACAACTATGGCACACGTGGGCTCCACTCAATTATACATAAACTCCTCAGCCTCTTCTGAAGGGGGACTCCAGAGTGGGCTCTGCAGCTTCCCCTAAGGTGCCTGGATGCAGCAGCCTCCGCTGTGGCGAAGATCTGCATGGCTCTTAACCAGGGTGGCCGCTGCAACCACTGTCCCTGAGGACAGGCTGCAACTTGCTGGTGGCAGCAGGACTGAGGACCTAATAGTGCTCTGAAAAGTAACATGATCAGTCACCAGGGACCATCGTGATGTGTGCCACAGGCTCACTTGGAGTAAGGTGAGCTGTCCTCCTTGGTCCCTGGCCGGAAGAGGTCAGAGCCGTGCAATGAAGCAGATCCTGGTGTGGTCTAACCATCTTTAATAGCCGATGGGCTGTCTTTACTCATAACTGATTACAACAAAACTTTCACTTAGACTAGGAGTTAACACACCTCGCTTCAAACCCCTTCAGTCTTTACTAAGGGAAATGAAAGCCAACCCAGAAACTGCCTAAACTTTAAAGTTAAATTATATTGAATAATAAGACAGGAGAGTGGGTCAACTTATGGTGTAGCAATGGATGCCCTTGGAAAACGAAGTCTAGGAAATTGTATGTTGCTTTCCCTTTCCATTTTAAATTGCTTTTAATTGGAAGTTAGGGCTCTGAATTATACTGAGAGATCAATAATGTAGTAAACACACTTTTCATGTTGCATTTGTTCTTAGGTAAAGTAGTACGTGGAAAAGATGAAAAGGAGAATTAAAAAATCTACTGTGCCTTTTTCAAATTTGAAGCATAAATTAGATTACAAAACCATTTTTGTGTAATGAACTCCAGGTTGGAGGAGATGCTGCAGAGCAGTTAATGTGTAGTGAATTTCCAGTATTTGAAGGAAACGCTAATTTTCTCAATAGATGCCTTTTCCTGGTATTTTTAATTATTTCAAGGAAGAAAGTGTGAAGAATGTCTTCGTGCATCCCTGCAGCTCAGGCACCTCTCCTTCCTGTCCATTTCCACATACTGCTTTCCCGGCGGCATCCTTCCCGGAAGCCGGCCGCAGAGCTCGCAGGTGGTGGCGCACATTCCTAACCTGAGTCTCTTCGTCTCGTTTGCAGCCCAGGAGGCAAGGATGAGCCGCTCCCGTACGCAAGGCATCTCCTAGACATGTGGGAACCTCCCTCACCAAAGAGCAATTAAAAACCAAAACCAAAAGCATATAGTATTTGCACTTTGTACTTTAAATGTAAATTCACATTGTAGAAATGAGATATTTAAACAGACTGTTTTAATCTGTGAAAATGGAAGGCTGGCTTCAGAAGATTAATCACATACAATGTATGTGCCCTCCCTCGACCTTCACAAGCTGTGCTGGTGGAGACGCCTCTGAGTGCCTTCGAGCTGCACTTCTGCCTGACCCTGTCGGCTGCAGACTCCTTCTCCTGGAAGGAGCAGTCGCCGCCCTCTGCACCTGCCCTGTGTTGTTGCGTCCGCTTGCCCCGCTTGGGTAACTCCTGTAATGTCAGCTTGTAGCATGCCGCAGTTACTGTGCACAGGTTGGCCTGTTTCTTGGGATTGTGTGTTTGTTCTGTTTGGCTTCTCAGAAATCCCTCACACCTAGAATCACACAACCACTAACTACCAGTGTTCAGGGCAGCCAGGGCCCTGGTAGAAGGCATTTCATATACTTCATGTGTCCTCTTCCGGCACTGTAAGCCTGGCTTTGGGCTGCATTACCCAGGCTCCTGCTGAGGGCTCACACCCCACAGGCCTCCAGCTGAGGAAAGCGAGTCTGAGTCCAACCTGCCTGAGCAGGCAGAGCTGGTTTAGTCCTCTAGGCTCACCACGTAGCCACCTGCTTTTCTCTCCCGTGTGGCTGTCCCATCCCCCTGTGGCCTGCCCCAGCCCACTGAAAGGGAAAGCCATGCCCTGAGTAAACTGCAGTCTCCCTAGAGAAAGCAGCAGCAGCCCAGTTTTGCAGAGTGCTCTGTACTTCAGGGACAAGAGGACTCGCCCGCCTGTGGTGAGACTGCGCCATGCACCTGTGAGTGGAGGCTCAGAGCAGGACAGTCACCCTGAGCAGCAGGACAGGGGCTGGCGAGCCCTCGCAGGCCCTGCAGAACACTGGAGGATAGCCGGAGCTCTGCTCCGAGCTGGTGGCCATCTCCACGTGAGCTTTTGGTGGGAAACACCTCCGTGGCCTCCCGTCTCCCAACAGCGTCACGCAGGTGACATCCGTGGATCTTTGTGAAGGTATTTTTTGAGGCTGTGTGCTTAGTTTGGCCATGCAGAGAGAGGCAGAAGTCAAGCCTTTGGGGCCCTAAACCAGTTACATGTCAGTGCTGTCCAAGAGTAGGTATGATCTTAAGTGTTTTGGATAATCTTTTATATTTCTAAACTTTGAATTTAATCATTCTTCTTAGGTTAAAATAAAGTATGCTATCAAAACTGTGTTTAGTCTTTTTTTTTTTTTTTTTTCAGCTGAGCACATAGTTTTGTGTTTGTCTGATTGTGAATGCGCCTGCTCCCGGGAGGTGAAGATGGGACCCGGGCAGAGGTCAGCCCGCGCCCTCTCCCTGCCTGGGAGGCTGTGCACTTTCTGCTGAGTCCACGGCCTGCTTGCTTCTCAGTTTCCTCCTCCGCAGAGTGTGGGTGTGGGTAGGAGCGTCCTGGGGCAGACTGAGAGCTGCCAGAACCTGGCACCCAGGACCCACCCTTGCCATGTGAGGGGGCCCCCATCACCCAGGAGCGGCTGGTGCAGCCCTGCTTTGGGATTTGCCTGTGTTTTGCTGTGCTTTGGTGCAAGACAGAGACACATGAAGGCTTTCATTTTAATACATGCTTTTCACTAAGTCATACAACGGAGGACCTTGAGGGTGACATTTAGTGCGCCCAGTCCCCAGCCTGTGCACCCTGTATCCCAGCCTTGGCTTGGTCCTTCTTGGGTTTCTCTGCAGCAGCTTGTTTTTGTCTTTTATTCATTTGGCTCATTCATTAAAAGCAAAGGCTGGGCTGTCCCGTCTGAGTGATACGGCAAATGAAAAGCCACATATGTACTAAGGAGACTTCAAAGGGCTGGGAGCCTTTCCACAGTACAGAGCCGTAGATCACGAAGCTAAAATACAGAGGAGTCCCCCAATTTGGCAGGAAACAAGTGCAATATGAGGAGGCCTGGAAGGGAAGGAAACTCACTTTTCAATAAGGAAGTTAGAAAATGGACAAGAAACCACCCCCCCCCAACCCCATTCCTTAAAATCCACTCTGGTGAGCGTAACAGACAGCAGAGATGCGAAAGAGGGCTTCTGTGTAGCCGTGCCCTCAGCCCTGGGGGGTTTGTGCTGAGATGCGAGCCATAGAAAACAGCTAATTGTCCACACTTCCGGCACAGGAAGAGGCCCCACTTCACCCACACTAGGAGTGGCAGCTTTTTAGCCACCTGTGCCCTCTGGGGTTCGCTACGTCCTCCAGGCTGGTCTCTTCCCACACCCACAGCTCAGGAAAGGAGGATTCACTTGCAAGTCCGTCACAGCACTGCTGATGACAGTGGCTCAGGGAAGACTTTTCCAGGAGGAAAGGGACTTGGGGGGGGAGGACGGCCACCAGCAAGTGCTCCTCGGAGGTGGTGGAGGTACACTGGCCTTGAAGGGAGCTGGGCAGGACAGAATCCAAGAGGCTGGAGAGCAGTGGAGGGGTGGGGAATGGGAGGACCCTGGAGGGGAAGCAGCAGCCATCGCAAGGCCTCGGCGCCGAGGACGACAGCTACAATCTGGAGCTGCAGCCTGTGTCCCTGATGACTGGGGCAGGGCTGTCCTGCTGGAGCCTCTCTCCAGCATGTCCCCCTTCTCCTGTTTGCAGAGGCTCCTGCACCCTTGTCAAGTACCTCTATGTGGGAGCATTTTGGAAGCCCATTAAGGGGCTCACAAATCCTATTCACAAAGGTCACACCTGGAGTTTTGCTTATGTTTGGGAGGTGGAAGGTGTCAAAGCTTTGGAATTGATGTACTGAAATGACTGATGTGATCATAAACTGGCAGGGGGAAAACCAAATGCAAGCAACAAAGGTAGCGGAGAAAAATAGTGAGCATTCACACAAAGCCAAATTCAGGGCACTGGGATGGTTGTGGTGGTGGTGGTGGTGATGAAGACGGCATGAATGATGGAGGTGGTGATGAGGGGATGGTGGTCATGATGGAGGGGAAGAGCATGACGGAGATGGTGATGAGGAGGCTGATGATGGTGGTGGGGCGGACAAAGATGGTTTTCGCCCAAATACCACACTCCATCACATGGACCAAAATTTGAAAATCGCTTGACTCATTGGTCATGAAGCCATTTTAAATATTTCTTTCATCTAGAAAGTTGTGCTCAATGTCTTTTACCTTAGTGCTGCAGACAAGCCACTCTGAAACTTGGGGACAACAAGACTTGTTTATTCTTGCTCTTGCCTGTGCGTGTTGTCTAAGTTGGCCAGCTACTCGGGGCTTCCCAGCCCTGGCCCTGGCGTAACGAGGCGCCCACCATTATGAACACAGAGCTGCGGGTCAGGGACATCTGCATCACATGAGTTTGAATCTCACCCTTAGGGGCATGTGGAGGACATGGAAGCTTCAGTCCTCAAAGCCTACAAGCTGAGCTATTTACAAGGCAAACGCCCTGAAGGCAGAAATAAGAGAATGCTCTTCTTAGCCCTCCATCCATTAGGAATTGACCTTAGTTGTAAGACACTGAGATCAGAAAACCAGATCTCACTGGCCAGGTCAGACAGAGGTGTTTTTCACAGTTGGCAGAAGACCGGAAGCAATGGCTGACACATAGGGTCCACTCCAGGCTGCAGATCTGTCCGCATCTCCAGGAGACCGAGCAGCTTGGCTCACAAGTGTGCTGTGCTCCATCCTCATGGCCCACAGGGCCGAGCACATGGGGCAGAGCCAAAGGCTGCATGGAATGCGTGTGTGCTTTCTAGCTCTCCCAAGCCCCAGCGAGTAGAGTTCTACTATGTATCATTGGTCACCAGTGTCTCTGCCGAGCTGTAAGACACACCTAAGCTAATGTCCTGGGCAAGGAAGGAGAAGAAGGATGCTGGACAGCAGCAGTGACATCGGCATGATGTAGCCACATGACACGGTGCCTCCTGTGTTTTATTCTACTTTATATATTTTATGTCAAATAAGTCACTTCCTTAGTGTTTCCTGTGGACATCTGACTGCTTATGTAGAGCTGATAAAGTGTGCACATTAATTCAACTCATGCGCATTCCGTGGCCAGAGGTGTGGCATGTCCTCTGAATAACTCTTTAACTGCAGAGCATACAATTAGTTCTCTTAAGTTAAAGTTGAAGTCACACTCGGTGAATCGATTATTGGCTGTCGAAGATGGAGTTAATATGTCCCCTACCTTGTCTGATATTACCTTTTCAGCCTATGCAGTTATTAGCTAAGAGGAAAAATGACATATTTTTTCTAAAGCTCTGAAAGTATACTCCAATATTTTAGTTCAAACATATGTTCACGATTCCTTAATTCGTGAATAGCTAGATTTCACTATTTAAAATAAGTCAAATCATTGACTTTTCCACTTAAGAAATAAGCCTTCTAATTTGACAGATGCTTTTATTACCTGAGATATGTCATGACAAAAAAAAATGTATTTCTAACATCATGTGGTCCCTGTGACCTGTGGTTCTCGGCTCAACCGCTACCTTTTGAGTCTTCCCAGAACCCAAGCGTGCCACCCTGAGAACCACTCCTCTGCCACGGGAGCCCTGAGGGAAACACTCTGGGTCCGAATCGCAGGGAAGATGAAGTGGGGCCTGCCGCTAGTTACCATCACTAAGAGATGTCCCAGAGAAGGGGAGGAACAGCAACAGAAGCACACCGAAGGCTTTCCAGGTGACAGCTGCAGCCCCACAGGGTGAGAAGCTACAGGCGGCTCAGTGGTGAGCCATGCCACCCATCATGTGGTCGTATCACCTTCCTCTTGTCACAGCTTCGTCTTTGCGTTGCCGGGGCATCAGAAATTGTCCACGTTTCTTAGTATTGCTTTTTCCCTTACCAAATCTGGACTATCACCACCACTCTGCCTGCAGTCCAGGCCGACTGTCCCTACAACTTTCTACCCGTCTTGGTCTCAGCAGCTGACACCTGGGGCCTAGCAGAGCTCCACAAGGCCGGGAGAAAGGCTTTGCTTGTGAGTTTTGATATGAATATGCAAATTACTACCTCATCATTTCTTCCTTAGGTTTGAGAAAGCATCAGTCTAGTGTATTTGTAGAGGATACACTTCCAGATACCACGGATTATACTTTTGATGAACATTCATTATGTTACCAGATTAGCTCGCGGGGGCCACCACTGCACAGCCATAGATTTGCCAAGGGCCTGTGTTCACCTGACACGCTCTAAGATCTTCATGTGACTATGTTCATATCTCTCTCTCTCAATATGTCTGGATTCAGTCTTAGTTATAGCTCTTATTTCAAAAAAGCTCTCTTCTGTTTTCCATACTTTATGTCCTGGCTGCGGGATGGTGGAAGTGCCATTTAAGAGTTCTGCAGCGAGCATGCCATTTTTCACGGTCCTGAGACTTCCACGCCTGAGAGAAATGTAGAACTTACCTTTGCTCAATGTGCAGCACACATAGGCTTCCCACGCCTGCTTCTTTCGGGGGCTTGAAGGCTGCCTTTGGTCTCATTGATGAAATGCAGATTGACTAAGAAAAGCAAAAGCATTCACTTAAGCAGCACTTGGCAAGGAAGACCCTTAACGATCCCAGCTGGTTACCTTTAAGGTGCAGGAAAAGCAATTGCGGATTAGTCTCCCTGGCAGCGAGTCCAGTGCATTCTTATTTGATTTACAAATCGGATGCATTTCCAATCAATTACAGCACTTTCCTCTGGACAGTTTCCCTTCCGAGGCAGACCGGTGCATGCCCAAGGCAGGGCAGATGCTCCGGAGCGCCTCTCCGTCGCCGCCCCTCAGGAGCCTTTCCGCGAGCTCCCTGCCAAGGCCCTACGCACACACAGAGCGCTGCACACATTGCTTTCTTTCTCTTCTGCACCCATAAAGTTTTCTTCCTGAAAGCGTTTTCTGTCCATTTCTGGCAGCAGTGTGGCTCCATCCACGGATGTGGGATGAGGGAGCGAAGGACGTCATTTTCAAGAGGCAGGTGAGAGAAACTGTGCGCGGTCCTCGGCGCACATTTGACGTGAACTCAGGCAGGCAGGCAGGCAGGCAGGCAGGCAGCGAAGCGCTCTATTGGCTACAGATCAGTGCCTCATGGCCTGGACCTGGGGCTTCCCCAGGATCCCTTCATCTCTGAACAGTGTCTTTTTCATGCGACGGAGAAGAGCCTGTGGAAACCCCTCGTTCTCAGGTGCTTCCTTATTTGCAGCTCTGCACAAAGGCTGTTCCTGGTGCCACCAGAGGGGGTGCTTTTCTCTCTGCTGTCTGTGTG